AATCCTGACTTGAAGCTGGCCAGCTAGAAATTTCAGAGGTCCAGATATGCAACTGGTATCTGAAGCGGGCATTGTAGTCTTGGGGATTGAGTCCAACCTGTGGGAGCTGACACTGTCTCCAGATAGGTAGTGTCAGAATTGAATTGGAGGAGACCCAGCTGGTTTCTGCTGCTTGGTGGTGAGGAGAAACCCCTATATTTGGTCACAGAAGTCTTCTATATTGATGACTGTTGTGGTGATGTGAGAACACATGAAAAACATGGTTTGAGAATGTTTCCCTGAAATATCATCCTTGCTATTCATTACATTGGCATCCATACAGACCAGAGGCAATATCCTACATCCTAAGGTTGTGCTGCATTTCCAACTTAAAACTCTCTCTTGATGCACATGTAAAGCCTAAGCAATTCATTGCTGAGATGACTTCAAGCTTGCCTGTACTCTGGCCATCCTTAGCGGGCGGTGTGACAACTGAGTCACGTGATCTCCAGCCTATCTTGCTGCTGTTGCCTTTCATATAAGAAAGGCCCCACTAAAGGCAACATTAAGGGTATCCATGGAGGCGAAGAGAAAACAAGAACTCTAACATGCTCCCTGAGGCTTGTGTGTAAGCTGAAAAAGGGACTGTCTTACATGTTAATAGAGACAGAAAGCAGGGCTGCCAGATAAAACACAGGACCGCCAGTTAAATCTGAATTTCAGATAAACAATGAATCCTTTTTGAGTGCAAAGTGTGTTCCGTTTGTTGTCTAGTATTCTTATGTGCTGACAACTCTGCGTTGGAGACTTGCTACGCTATGCAATAATCGCACCACCTGAAATCTTGTTAGAAATGCGAATTTCACTCAGGTTCTACCTAAGACTTTATTATTATAGGTCAGGCTGTCAGGCTGATATAGATAAAATGCCATAGACTGGGTGGCTTAAACAACAAGTATTTATTCCTCATGGTTCTGGGGACTGGGGTGTCCAAGAACAAGGTGCTGGTAAATCCTGTGTCTGGTGAGGGCTCTCTTCCTGGTCTGTACACGACCATCTTCTTGTTGTGTCATCACATGGCGGACTGAGAGAGATTATCTCTCTCATCTCTTCTCACAAGAGCGCTAATTCCATTCATGAAGGTTCTACCCTCAAGACCTAAGTACCTTCCAAAGGCCCCAGCTGCAAAGACCATCACATTGCAGATGAGGATTTCAACTTATGAATGTCTTGGGGCCACACAGATTTGGTCCTTAGCACTTATTGAATCAGAATCTGCATTTTTAACAAGCTCTCCAAGAGTTTAGCCTGGACACTAAAGTTTTAGAAGCATTGCTTTAGGACTTACAAACTATTTTCATAGATATTGTCTCATTGACATTCACATTGTCCCAGGGGATTGGCAAGGAAAGAAAAAGCAGAGAAGACATTTCTTTGACCACCTAGTCCTGTTGTCAGAATGGAGATTTAAATACTGAAGGGGGCATTGTACACACCTGCAGTTTCCTCTCATTAAAGGGCAGAGTTTCCTCCTAATCCACCTCTTGTTTCCTGACATGTTTAACCACAGAGATGAGGGTGGAGCGAGTGGGCAAAGCAGTGGAGTTCAAACCTGAGGGGTGCCACTGCTCACTCACTCTTGACCATGGCTTCAACACTGTCGATTACTCCCTGTAGACACCACAGCAGTCCCATCTCTGCATCCTCTTCTCTTTCTTTCAAGTCATCAGCAATTTCAACGAGTGCCATTCATTTAATAACAGATTTTGGGAAAAATACGATCATCGCTGGAGTAAATGGACCTACCTGCTATAAGAGCCATTTTGACTTCAGAAATGCTAAAACAAAATAGGCATGTTTCTGATTCAAGGAAGTACGGTAGAGGACTATGGAGTAGAATTCAGGAAGTCATCAGGAAAAGTCTGGGTGATGGAGACATGCCTAATCATACCCTTAGCTAGGACAAAAGGCAGCAGATAGAAGAATGTGGCTGACGAGTCTGATGGATACAGTTAAAGAGAGGAAGAGACGTTTGGTTTATCAGAGACCTCATCACACAGACTTCAGTTTACAAACTCCAGGCAGGACAGTCTCTTCCAATGCCAATAAGCCTCTCTGTTCCAAATCTGTCAGCTTTGATAGATTTTTAAACAATAAAGATTCTAGTTCTTTTTCACATGGGTGATAAGAATAACTTTTCTTTCTTTTTTTTACTACCATTCTTAAACATTTTAAAAGGTCTGTCATTTTAACATTCAAAAGTGGGAAAATAAATTACTTTATAAATAAATCCTTACACTTGGAAAATAGTGTAGCAGAATTTCTTTAGGCAAAAAACTTCTCTATGTGTATCTAGAACAATTAATATTTGGATAAGAAGAAAGCTTCGATTACATTTAATTCAATAAGTCTTTATTGGTTATCTATTTACTATCCTAGTGTATGTATACGGTATAATATTAAGATTCCCTGCCAGTGAAAAACGATGAAATTGCAATTGTTCAAAGGGGACATAATTTGAGTCACAAATATTTGATAGCCTCGCCTTTTACTAATATACTTATTGCATAATAAAAGATACACAGTATTTGGGTTAAATTCTGGAATATTGCTACAAATGACTTCATTGCCTTAAACTTGATCATTTCTTCTACCTGCATAAAATCCTTCGATGGCTTCCAATTGATCTCAAGATAAAATTCAAATATGGTCCCTGAGTACCAATCTAGGTTTTTCCACATGTGCGGTCCCTTCTCAAACCCACAGTTCAGTAGTGTGGAACTTGAAGTTTCCAGATTCACGGTGCTTACTCTGACCATTGTGCCGTTTATAGGTGAACTCCACTGTCATCTTATAGTACTTAATCCACAGAGCCTTGCATGGTGCCTGGGTCAGAGGAAGTGCTTAACAATTTTGCTGACAGACTGCTCAACTGAATGAACAAAGGAGAGCCACTAAATCTTTTATAGAACTTAGGATCTGCTTCATTTGTTCTCCTAACTTGGAGAGGATAGTATTTAGCTGTTTGTTTGAGAGACAGGGTACTGCCATTAAAAGAGATATTTAAGTTATATGCATAAACACACACACACACACACACACACACACACACACACACACACCCACACACACCCACACACACACAGAGGATTTGGGAGATTCCTAGCTTTTATTCTCATTAATTGGATAACAGTGGACTAACTGGCTGCTTTCATCTGCACAATGAGGAACTTGGTTGAACCATCTGATCTTCTCTGGCTCAAACTCCCATGATCTTTATCTTCCCCATTCATTTTCTTGGTGAGTTTAGTCTCTTCCTCTAACCTTGCCCATGACCATACTTTTTCCTTTTGTATGATATAGCATACACATAAGTACCAGCAACCTGTGTGGCTATCCATGGGCAGGCAGCGCAAAACACAGCCTTTACTTAGCTAAGGCTAAAAGGTAAACACAGATGGGCAACAGAGCAGCTCAGATAATCAAGTGTTTTCTTCATTAAGCCATCTGGTCATCCTTGACTATGTCTTTCCAAACAGTCATCAGGAAAAGACACATTAGAAGCTGTTCATTTACAGCTGAAATTGCTGGCCAAAGGTCTCCTCGCTAAAAAGCCAGACACTGGGAAATGCTAAGGTTTTTATTTAGCAGCATGTTGTTAATATCAGGACTAATTTCCTTTCGTGATCTGAAATTTGGATGTTGGGCAACTTGAATGGTTACAGCTTTTACTGAAGGTGACATGCTTTCACCTTGCTAAGGTCTTTCTGGTATGGTTAATAATGTCATTAACAATAGATGCTAAAAAATGCAACTCAGTTGTGTAAGAAATAACACCTCACTTGCACCTCCTGTTGAACTCCTGCAGTTTTTTCTGAACTTCATAACCATGTACCTTCTTGATCTCTGCGTTCCCTAGGCTGGAGTGCAGTGGCAGCCTTGATCTCCTGGCTGAAGCAATCCTCTCACCTCAGCCTCCCGAGTACCTGGGACTACAAGCATGAACCACCACATCAGCTAGTCTTTTTTTGGTAGAGATGGGGGGCGGGGTCTCGCCATGTTGCCCAGGCTGGTCTCGAATGTCTGGGCTCAAGAGATCCTTCCACCTCAACCTCCCAAAGTGCTGGGATTACAGGCGTGAGCCACTGCACTTAGTCTCTCATTCCCCTTTGATGTCACCTACTTCAAATGCTTGAAACCACCCAATAAGTCCTCAGGAGAGACTCCCCTCTTAACTTCTCCACCTGCTGGTCAATCCCCAAAGATTCCTTGAGTCCAATTTATCAGGTGCTTTACTCACCTGTTACTCCAAAGGATGTTCCAGCAGATTCCTCGCTGTGTGTCCTGCCTCATTTGCTGACTCCTGACCCACTCCCTCATTCAGCTTCTCTGTCCTATGAAAACTCAGGCCATGCCCATTTCTATGCTGAATCAACAAATTGGGAAATTCCATATCGAGTGACTAGAATGTCCACAGGGCAGGATATTGGAAACCTCTGGTCTGGAAGGTCCCATGAGATCCATTAGAACCCTTCCCTGGTGTCCCTCAGTCACTTTCTTTTACCTTTCCAATGACATTTTGCTATTTTTTTCCTCCAATGGTGGAAAAAAATGACAGAATTTTCATTTCCTGTTTAACTTGCGATGAAAGAAAAAGAGCCCCACAAATTTAATTAGGGATAAAAATAGCTTCGCTATCTTAAAGTCATTAAGTGAACATAAAAGGGCTCTTTGTGATCTCAGGGTATATCGGTAACCTGGCATCTGTCACCATTCCTCTGTCCTCATCCAGAGGCAAGGCATTGAGGACAAGGATTCCATGCTTAATGGCACCTTGAGAGTAAGTGCTCCCAGGTGCCCTCAAACCTGTCACTCTCAACAGCTGTCGCTAAGTGATGACTTGTCCCTCCACCCTCTGTTGCTTTCTTTTGCATAAACAAGTCTGCAGAGTTGTGCCAGAAGAGCCTTCCAAGGCTGGAAGTGGTGTGCCCGCACCCGTGCGAACATTGAGTCTCTCTCACCTGGCTTTGCTGTGCCCGTTCCAGCATTCTTCCTCGTTGGACGTGCCTGCCGTCACGCGTTCGTCCTTGCAGATGGTGTAAGGTAGCGCCGACCAGACCTTTTTAGACAGCTTCAATTTCTCTTTTATGTCTGTGACCTGATCAAGAAACCAAGGAAATCGAGTGAATATCCTCCTCAGGCTTGGCCCATTACAAGGACGTAACCAGGTGAAGGTGACAGACCCGTGATGTATGACCAGCACAAACTCTTTATCCCGATTAAAAAGAGAGACGCCAATGCTGCAGGGTTTATTGCCCGGGAAAGCCCTTTTCCTCCCCACCCCATCTTCCTCTAGTGGAGGGTTTTCAGGTTAATTGGCTTTTTGTTTTTCTGTCCTCCAATCCTTTGGATTAAAAACTTATGAAGCATCTCACCTGGCTGTGGGTCCCTCCCCTGCTGGGGACCCCTATTGTGTAGACCTCAAGGACAATCTTTAGAATTCATTTGCCTGCATGTCAAACAAATGTACCAAAACAAATGCACTACGAGACACTTTCCCCAATGGACTACTTGTTTCTGCAAAAAGTAAATCTTGTCACCGATTCAGCTGCTGGTATCTCTGGTTTGGTGCAAATGACAGGCCCACACAGCACACACATGTGTGGTAAGCAGTAAACCAAGCCCTCTTATACATCTGGAGCATTGAAAGAGAATATTCACAGCCCTGACCAAGAGAAGCTCATTACCAGCATCTTAAGTGTTTTTAGGCTCAGCACTGACTTCTTACCTGTGGAAGGGGCAGGGAGAGGGACTTTGTGCCATTTGAGTTTCACAGTGAACATCTGAGTCCATGCAGTCACAGCCCTGATTTCGTATTCAGTCTACATGAATGTTGGGAAAGTCCATGGGTGGTTGGAATGCACTTGTTATGGGTTAACTTGTGCCAACCCTGCCCACCAAGACTTGCATGAAAGTCTTAACCCTCAGGACCTCAGAATGTGACCTTAGTTAGAGATATGAGGACATTGCAGAGGTAAGGAAGTTGCAGTTAAGCCATTAATATGGAACCTAACTCAATATGGCTGACATCCTTATAAGAGGGGAAATTAGGTCCCAGAGGTATGCATAGAGCGTAGAAGAGGTGAAGACACACAGGAAAAAGATGCTCATCTGTAAGCCAAGGAGAAAAGCCTGGAACAGACCCCTTCCTCACAGCCCTCAGAAGGAACCCACTCTGCCGACACCTTGATTGCAGACTTCCAGCCCCCAGCACCGCGAGATGGTACATTTCTGTTGTTTTAAGCCACTCAGTTTGTGGTACTTTGTAATGCCAGTCTAGGAAACTAACACAGATGCAAAACATGTTGAGTAAACATTTGATGGAGAAAAGGATATTTATACAATCTCAAAGTACCTACTGCAGATTACTTATTAATTACAAAAGAAAAACTGGTCATTTTGCAGTGCAGAGACTTGGCAATCCGCCACTTTCCCCAAGTGATCAAAGTCATGGGACACATTGATAGTGCATACTTCTTGATGTGATTTGCCAGAAAGGACATATCACTTAGGCAGCCCAAAATGTATAACCTGAACCTAATCATGAGGACACATCAGATGAACCCAAACTGAGGGAAGTTCTGAAACACAGCTGGCCTGTACGCCTCAAAAATATCAGTCATAAGAGACCCCAAAAGGCTGAAGAGTTCTTGCAGATTAGGAATAAGAGACATGATATTTAAATGTTAAATTAAATTAATTTAAATATTAAATCTAATAGTTCTGGATTGAATGCTAGGTCAAAAAGATAATTGTCATAAAAGGTTATTGAGACAGTGGGTACAATTTGTATACTGACTCTGTATTAGATAATAGTATTATCCTCAGTGTTAAATGTCCTGAATGTGAAATCATACTGTGGTAACATTGGATAATGTCGTATTCTAAGGAGACATGCCAGTGCATGTAGAATTAAAGAGGTATAATTTCCACAATTCACTTCATAATGGCTCAGTTAAAATAAATAATAATGATAATAACAATAAGAATATATATATATATATAAAGAAAAAGAGAGAAAGCAAATGTGGCACATTTTAAATAATTGGTAAATCTAGATGAAGTGTGCAATTTTTCAAAAAAATGCAATTTTTGGGAAGTTATAATTTTTTTCAAAATAAAACACGTGAAAAAGAACCACTCCCATTTATTTGTTCTGCATGGTGTCGACTTTAGTGTACCTACTCTTCAATAAGGGCCACCCCCATGGGTCACTCATTCTTATTCTTTTCAAAATAAACTCTAGAGAAAGAAAAACATGTAACATATTTATGAAGCGGGATCCCCCCCAAAACCGGGCTTTATTTATTAAAAAATTGTGTATTTATTCTTACATGTTTAAACTTCAGCCACCTTCAAAGTTCTCTCCGTTTGATGCAAGACACCTACTGAGACACTTTTCCCACTGCCTAAAACAGTTTTTGAACTCATCCATTTGATGCCTTTTAGTGCTTCTGTCTTTTTGTTTCACCTCTTCCACGTCGGCAAAATGTTTCCCTTTGAGGACTTTTTTCATTCAGGGAAACAAATTAAAAGTCGCGTGAGGTAAAATTGGGTAAATAGGGAGGGTGGGGCATGGGAGTTCACGGTGTTTTTCTTTTGGTCAAAAACTGCTGAACACTCAGCACAGTGTGGGTAGGGTGTTCATGTAAATCACCCATCATGAAATGGGCAAATGTGTTGTGAGAATCTCCAAAAAAAAATCCACTGAAACCAATGTAGCTTCTTACAACGATGCTAACTTGTACACTGATACCTGATGGGTTCCTAGAACACTTATCTAGCAGAAGAAACCTGTACAAAGGGCCTGACCTCTAAAAAATAATTCTGTTTGTTTTTTTTTTTTGGTCTCCCCTCATATATCTGGTTCAGAAAATGATCACTATCTCCATGACTGAAATACTGTCAGGTCTGTTCTATCCCATAACACAGCAGACCAAGAATGAGAGTTTTCATTTCTACTTATTTTATACTAAAATCCCACCTTCATGCTACGGGACTCGAAACCAGATACGCTTATTTTGAGACTTAGCAAAAGACTAAAACTATATGATGTTTCATAGGTTTCTCCCCTTTTAATTTTTGCAAAATGTAACTAGTTGTTGTGTGAATCATTCCTTAAATCAAACTCAAGCATTGTCTCTATCAGAGTGCATTCTCCGGCCCCCAAGGTAGATTGAGATTTCACTTTTTACAGAGTGCCCTGTCCATGATTCTAAGTACTGATCAGTTCCTAATTCTAATAATGTCTTATTTTATGATCCTCTCTGAGACTACATACTTTTTAATGGCAGGAATAGAATCATAATTTGTTCTTATCCTCAGTGCTTAGTATGGCTCACATGACAAACCATCCCAGTTTGTCTGATCCTTAAGGGATTCTAGGATGCTGAATTTTCAGCACTAAAATGGGAAAGTCCCAAGTAAATCAGGATGAGTTGGTCAAACAGGTTTCAGCATGCAGTAGGTGCTCAATAAATGTTGATTGAGAGAATGGATTGGATTGTCCAATTCTATTACAAAGTCATAGCCAATATCATTAACATTAACTAGTTGAGGTCACAATAATGTGTGTTCTTCATTCCAAGAGGGTTGGGAGGAAACCATGGAGTTGCATTTGGTTATGTGAAGAACCTGTCATCGTCATGCTGATGGGTGAATGTGTTTTATCTGATTGTTCACCACGGCACATTTGATAATCAGGGCATGTTCACTCTGGCAGGCCAGCAGTAGCTGTGTGTTTCCATTGTACAATTGAAGGAGATAATAGCAAAGGAGCAGAGAGAAATGCAAATACTGTTTTTACATTCTGTGTGGAAACACTGGCCAATTCACCTCAAGACTGTGATGGTGAGGCAGACAGCTGAAAGAAATGGCAGAAGTACTCAAAGGCATTAAAATGGACAAGTTCAAAAACTGTTTTGAGTAGTGGAAAAAGCATCTGGATAGGTGGACTGCATCAAACAGAGAATAATTTGAAGGTGACTGAAGTTTAAACATGTAAGAATAAATACACAATTTTTAATAAATAAATTTCTGGTTTTGGGGAGATCCCCAATACACTCTTAATATAAGGCCGGTCAGGTCCATGAATACTTAACTCTGTAGAAAGGCAGTGGCACTTACATCTACCCTTACTGAACTGCAAAATTAGACAAAAGAGGGAGGAAGTTGGCATGGTGGAATGACCTCTAAAAATAAAGAGATTAGCAAAAATAATGACCAGAAAGCAGAACTATCCAAGCAATCTTGTCTGACAGCTTCACTTAAGAAGTAACTTTGCCTCAACTATGTAACCTGAGTCCCATCAAGTTTTTGACTTAACAATTTCCACAAAATACCACCTATAGAGGAACAAACTTAGAAACATTACAAATAAATGACCAGACACGTCCCATGATGAGATATTATATAAGACAACTGGCCTCAGCTCTTCAAAAGAGGACAAATAAATAAATAAAGCCAGGAGGACCATTTTTGGATGAAAAGCAACTCCAAAAACCTAAAAAACAAATTTTATGTGTAGACCTTAATCACATCCTAGACTTAGAGATAAGAACTCAGTTATACAAGAGAGTTTTGCATAACTGGGGAATTTTGAATATAGGCGAGGTAGTAGGTGATATTATTGAATTACTGTTAATGTTCTTAAGTGTGATCATGATATTGTGGTTGTGTAGAAGACTGTTCTTATTTTTAGAACATTCACACTGAGATATTTAGGAATAAAGTGTCACTGTGTCTTTCACTTATTGAAAATAGAAAAAGAGTCAACCATTATTGATCTGCACCAGGGGTATATGGATGTTCATTTTACTATTTTTAAAAACCATTTCAGTGTTATTTGAAAAAGTTAAACATAATGGAAAGTTGAGAAAGAAATAAGTCTGTTGTCAGGGCACATAGCTTTCATGAGCTTTGCTGGATTGAGCATAGGGCAGTGAGTGACTCAAAGTGATGGTGGCTGTGAGTTTTCATTGGGTGAAGGTACCCACTCACATTCAATCTTTATAACTCTGTGCTGAAATATTATCATTGTACCCTTTGTGCGACTGGGAAACAGGGATTAGAGAGGCTAAAAGCTTGCCACATATCTAG